CCCACAGCCCCCCCATTCCCACACAGCCTCTCCAGCCCCCCCGGGGGTCCCACGCAGCCCCCCCCGAACCTTCCCCGAGGTTCAGGGGGTGTTTCACGCCCCCCCCTCACCTGTAGCCGTGCTGGCCCCTCCGCTCCTCCAGCACCTTCTCCAGGCTGGGCCTCAGCGCTGCGGGGGGGGCTGAGCTGGAGCCTACCCAGGACGAGGGGGGCATCCCACACTGAGACCCCCGGCACCCCACGGGCCTGCCCGATTCCCCCAGCGCTGGCAGCTCACCCTGGCGGGACACCCCGGCACCCGCCCGGCAGCGCCCACGCGGGCGGGGAGGGAGAGGCAGGGGGAAGGCCCGGAGGAGGGGCGGGGAGGGCTCGGCCACCCCCCTGTCCCCTGTCCCCTGTCCCCAGTCCGTCCGGGTCCGTGCCACAGTCCCGCAGATCCGCGGCCGGGGGGACACCATGGTGGTGACACTGGGCTACTGGGACATCCGGGGGGTGAGTGGGGCCGGGAGGGCACGGGGGGGGTCGGTGGGGTATGAGAGGTGTCTACGGGACATCAGGAGTGTCCGGGGGTCCCAGGGGAGCTGGTGGGAGCTCCTGGGGCCCCCCAGGGGGTGCTGGTGGTCTGGCGGTGCCGGGGGTCCCAGGGCGGGCGTTTGGGGGTTCTGGAAGTCCTTGGGTGGGAGAGGTGGAGGTCCCAGGGTCCCTTTGGGGTGCCAAAGGTGGGCGCTGTGTGTGTCCCCCCCCAGCTGGCCCACGCCATCCGCCTGCTGCTGGAGTACACGGAGACCCCCTACCAGGAGCGCCTGTACTGTCCTGGCCCAGGTGAGGGGGGGCTGTGACCCCCTCAAACCCCGAGACCCCCTGAGAACCCCTCCTCCTGCTTTGTGCAGTGTCAAAAACCCGCTGGGGGGAAAAGGGACGCCCCGTTTCCAGTCTGTCCTTCTTCCCCTCCCCACCAACCCCGTCCTGCACCTCGAGGGGGGCCAAATCCCTCCCCAAAATCGGACTTTGATCCCTCTCAGGGGCAACGTCGTCCCTGACCCGCCCGGGGCTGGGGGGGCACACGCGGCTCCGGGGGCAGAGCGGGGTGGGAAGGTTGGGGGTCTGGGGGAGCCCCCCCTCCAACTGCTCTGCCCTCCTTCCCCC